CCCTCCCCCCAATTAAAAATATATCTTTAAAAAAACAAAACAAAAATCTATCTGTTGAATGAACAAATTCTTTCTTTTCCTGTAGGAGTACTCCATGTTAATTTTCTGGAAATGGAATTACTGGGCTCTGAATATTTTCATAAGCTCTGATGCATACTGACAAACTGTATTTATTGGACTCCTACCAGCAAGTATTTTTTTTTTTCAAATATTCACTAATTGGATACTTTTTTTGGCTCTCCTCACTTTAACATTCGTATCCTTTGCACAGGCAAGAGAGTCATTTTAAGTCACTTGAATGAGTCCTTTACATGTTACAAATGTTAACTTTTGTTGCAAATATTTTTAGAAATTTTGTTGTTTGTTTTTAATAGTTTATGTACAAAAATTCAAATTTTGGTTTAGACAGCTTATAATTTGTTTTTGTTTTATCTCTCAATTTTAAGCTTACAATCAGTCTTCCCTCTTCCAGAGGTTTACTAAGAATTCACTTCTATTTTCTTCAGTTTTTTCTTTTTTCCCTTATGGTTTAAAATAATTTCTTTAACATTCTCTCCAAAGGGACCACATCTTCCCATTGCACTGGAAAACGTTTTCATCTGTTGAGCATTTAAGTATATGGAACTTATAAGATGTTATTTAAAATAAAATGACCTGTGCAGCTGCAGTGTATTTGCAGTTATTTTTGTAATGAAAACGTGCTCGGTAGGTGGGGCAGCCTGTGGCGTATGCCACCGGGTCCTCTCCGTGCCGTGTTCACCTGCAGGCATGGGACTGCCCGCGGTGTTCCTTGGAGCAGGACCTGAGGCTCTGACTGTCCTGGTCTAGGCCACGGTGACAAGTCACATTTGCACTGAGGTCAGACTTTTCCATGCTACACCGATTCTAATGCTTCTATTTCAGCTTGTTTCTGAACGTTGGGAGGGAAATACAGATTTGCGTAAATGACCCCTGCAGACTGTGAAGGGCCCGGGAGCCGGAGTTTGGATTTGATCTTCAACTGAAGGAAAAGGGTCACAAAAGCAGTAACAGAGGGGCCAATCTATTTTTGAATTATAAACTGGGTTGTAATAAGGAAATCGCTCATTACTTTGTTAGAAAAACTGAGCTCTACTTTTTTAGTAAATTTCAAATACACACAAAAATAACTTCAAAGGTATTGCCTAAGTGTTAACATTTTATATGTAAATATAAGTACTTATATATTTATAATATATATTTATATTATAAATATATATATATTCATAAACACACATGCATGTACACCCACAATATTTCTTTTTCTAACCATCTGAGTAAACTTCAGATTTTTGATATCCTTTTACCCCTAAATATCTGTGTGCATTCTTAAGAATAAGAATGTTCTCTTAACATAACCACAGTATAATGATCAAAATCAGGAAATTAACACTGGTATAAACTACTCACATTTTCAGTATAAAAATGTGAGGGAAAAAAGCGACTCTTTCCCTGATGCCTAAGGCCAAGCGTCTCAGTGACTCAGTGCACTTCACGTGGCAGCCGGTCTACAACAGGGACACACTGTAACTGATTCGGGGGGTCAGGTTTTCTCATCACTGTCCCCACTTCCTGTTCACCAAGGTCAGCTGATGACCAAAGTAGCAGAGAACATGGAATAAAAGTAGACAAGCTGTCTGCATTCTCCTATCATCAGGCCGAGTCCCCCAGCATGAAGAGATCTGGGGGGGCTCCAGGATCCCCTCAGAGGCCTAGGCAGGAAGGTCTGCCCAGTATACACTGATCTTTTTAAAGAAGTACCTTTCCAGTCAGCGGGGGCGAAAGAGTCCCATTGCTGATATTCTTCCTGACGTGGTCTGGAGCCGCACTGGAGCGGCCGGAGAGCGAGGAGACGGTCCTGGAGATGGAGCCCTCAGGACTCTTCTTGGAGCCTGGAATTCTGTCAAAGGAAGAACAGACATGGGGGCAGGGGAATTCTCTTACTAAAGATACAAATTCATTATAGACACTGACTGTGAGAAGGTGCCAGAACAAATTAAAGCCGAGGCTGCAATTCCATGCAAAAAGTTGAAAGGGAGAAACACAGCCAGAGAGAACCTTGACCTCCCTTATACGTTTCTCTGAAATCTTGCTTTGCCCTTAAACCCGCGTGAAGTTGTTACGTAGCCTCGCACAGCTGCTCAAATAAGCAGACAGCAAACTACGGTAAGAGTCCTGCCAATACTGGGTTCTCAGTGTATCAGAAAGCCAGAGACCCCAGCTACTCCGTTCAGCACAGCGTGCAGGAAGCAGCCTCCAGTCTCCTGTCCACACTCGGGGACAGCCAGGCCAGCAGAAGGCCACTCTGCTGCAGCTTCCACCCTCTGACAACCGACTGCACCGCCCACTGTGATCCCTTTGCCCACAGAACCAACATGTCCCATTTGGGACAATAAAATAATAGGTGACTTTCCCATTTACACTCAGTCACCTCAATGTGGGGCAGACCTTGCCAGAGGCTGTCCCTAGCTTTTACGCAGCAGTCAGGTGACGTGGTCTAACAGGGCCCGTTCCAGTCCACTGCCGCGACGGGTGGAGCGACAGCTGCTCGGCCCTCGGCAGACTCCTAGCTACTTTCACGTGGGGGTGGGGGAGCGTGCAGGAGAAGCAGAGGAAGAGGGGGGCGGGCGGAGGAGTTACCGCAGGTAGAAGAGCACGTAGGCCTGCTGGTTCAGAACCACCTTGACGTTGCTGGGATGGACCAAGGAATCATTCATCTGATACCACTGTCCATTGCTCGCCTAAAGCAGCACAGGGTGTGACAGAAAAAAACAACAAAAGCCAAACATTCCATAATCCTTACTTTTTAAAAAAAGGAATAAGAAATCTGCGGTTACTTGCCACACATATCCAAGTGCTGATGAACTGGCAATGATTTCATACTAAAATGTCTAATGTTTGTCTAATTCTGAAAGTGACCTTACCATGTGCTCTGCTCTGTTCCTTCCTGGTGTCCTAACAGACAAAAGCTTTCCCTTCGGAAGGATATTTCAGCAGCTCTGATCAGCAAGGATATTTCAGCAGCTCTGATCAGCTCCCACCAACATTTGGCCTCCCTGAGATGTCTCCGGGGCCCTAAGGCCAGGGCCCAGGAAGCAGCCCCTCCCGTGTTTCAGCGCAAGCCCACAAATACACAGGTCCCAGCGAGACGGGTTTTACAGACATCTCTGCACTCCATGCACAGAAGCCACAACAGGACCTGAACTCCACTACAGCACAGTGCCACTTGCCACAGAGTAAACGTGCTGCAGAGGCCACACTGGACTTGTCCAAACCCACACTGCACACCTGCCCCCAGGAGGTAGAACGCTCCCCACCGCTAACGCAGCCAATGCCACTGACCTTCACGTAGCAGTAATAGTGCCCGGCATGGCAGCTGTAGCCCGAGTGGACCAGGACGGCGTACAGACCATACATAACAGGCTCGCCACTACTCTGCGACATATACGGACGGATGTTCAGGAATTCCGGATAGCCTACATCCTGTTGGAAAAGCCAAAAGGCAATTAAAATTCGTCACTGACAGCATGGGTCAATTCGCCCCCCATCCACCTACAGAAAAGCACAAGGCAGCTGGCCTTTGACAGTTCAGGGCAACTGGGCATACAGCCACACGATGGCAGGGACTCCCTTGGTCACTGACTGAAAAACAAGAGGCAGAGAAGTGCGTCTTTTCTAGGTGAGGCTCCACGAATAACTCTATTTCAGTTTCCCCTGAGCGACGTGTGGTCTGTTCTTGTCTCTGTCATGCATCCAAGTCACTGTCTCACCACCTGTGCTCCAAGTGTAAGACAGCAGAGCCGCCACTCTACAGGAACACAGCAGGGCAGAACAGAGAGACAACACCAGGTGTGGGTCCTCAGAACAAAAGGGGCGGACTCCACACAGCCAATTGCTAGAGTAAGTCACACTTCAGTGCAGTGGATCAGGACAAAGGTCAGGCCAACACTCATTTCGGAAACGGACAATTTTTCATAGGAAAATATTGGGTTGTCGGAAGTCATGACGTATTTTTTCTTTTTTTTGTTGCAAAAATGCGTCATGACTTTTCCAACAACCCAGTATTTGCAGAAATTATCTTTGATAGGACGAAAGGAGCTATAACATACCTGCGTTTCTGCCTATACACATTCAGATTTTTTTCTTTAATGAAATATAACATAGTGTGAAACGCATAGCTCTTAGGTGTAGTTTAATGAGTTTTGACAAGTGTATAATGACTGTAACCCGTATTCCTACCAAGATACAGACATCAACCAGAAAATCCCCTCATGTCCCTGCAGGTGTCCCACCTTGAATATCCACTGTTCTGATGTCTATCGCCATTTATTAGTTCTGCCCATCCTCGAGCTCCCTACAACAAGAATCATGTGGTGTGGACTTCTTGTGATATGTACCTACATATCTTTTTCCTTCTACTGACAAACTCAAAATCTCTAAAGCCAATGTACACAATAGGTTCAGGAGCCTCAATGCAATCGTGCTAATCAAACGGACCAATGATTCTCAAGTGAGGTTCCAACGGGAAACTAGTTCCAGGAGACGTTAAGGCGAAACACGACTTCCTCAGGGAAGGCCCACCGTGATCTCGTTCACCACTGATGGTTTCCCACTGACTTGTGCTGGCTTGTGCAACGGAAGCACATCGCTATTAGTACAAGGAATGGATGAATGACTCCCCAGACAACTAAGCTTAGAAAATTCTTCATAATAATTTCCCCTCTGGGAGATTAAAAATGCAACCTAGCTCAACAAAGGCTCTGAGAAGTCCTGCAATTAAAAGGAACTGTTTAACTTCAGCTTAGCATTTCCCAAACTCCACTGAGCACAGAATGCTTTCTTTCAAAGTACAATATTAATGCTCCACAGAACGCCAGTTTGGGAAATGCTGATGTAAGCAAGCCGCCTGCCTCTGCCAGCAAGGAAACTGAGGCTCAGACAAGTGCCCCAAACCACAGAACAAGGCTCTAACAACTGAAGACAGGTCTCCTGACGTTTATGAGACAAGGCACCTTCTATGAAAATGCCATTATACAAAAAGTACATTTTACTCCACATTCCACAAAAAGTCACAGCATGTAACTGCACCTGTTTTAGACATAAAACAGGACACGGGGACCAGAGCTACATAGACCAGCGTCCATCACACTTATTCTTAATTTGGAAGCCTTGACCCTCCATATCAGGACCACCCCAAGCACAGGCAAAAGAATTTAGTAAGACAGCGGTTCTTGAACTTGACTGTGCATAACAAGCATTTAGGGGTTTTGCAGAAATGCAGATTCCTAGGCCCTGCCTTCCAGAGATTTGAATTCACTGGCTCTGGGGCAGAGCCTGGAATCTGTATTTTAAAGAGCAGCCAACCCAGCAGGCTGGGACACCATGGCGAGCGCTCACCTTGGTGATCTTGCCCCCGCTGAAGTTGGCGAAGCGCTTGAGGGAGAGGGTTAGGACGTTGGAGGTTCTGTGGATGGTGAAGCGCTTGCTGGCGGGAACTTTCTTCTTGCATCTGAGGGAGGCGAGTGGGAGGTGTCAGCGTGTGCTCTGAGGCAGTGTCCGGACACCAGGTTAATAAAGGTATTGCAGTGGAGTCTTCTGAAATGACATCTGGGCCCCCTGTGTCCCTAATAATCAAACTGACACTACTGCAGCAAAGGATAGCTAACCCAGACTAGAGAAAAGCTGGCGAGTCTAAAGCAAAAATGAGGTCCTTTCCCAATTAGGAGACTAATGAAGGTGCAGGAAAAGTAACCCTGGGATCACATGGGAAACAAATGAAAGCAGATGTGGCCCGGCGACAGACAGGCAGGCAGGCAGGAAATGACTGGGCGGAGCCAGAAGACACGGAAACCAAGGGGGAGGGGACAGAGGAAAGCAGACAGCTCCCAGAGCTAAGGAGACAGAGTTAAGGCGGGAAAGGCAGTGTTTGGCCCAGAATGATAAGCCTGAGAAGCAAAATTAAGCAAAGTAGTTTTTACGACTTTTCAATGACCTAAATATAAAGTAACACACCTTGTACAACCTTTAAAAGAACAGGGTCAGAACTACAGCTGCAGAAATGGCAAAATGCTGACGAAAACTTAAGAAATGGAAGCCGCAGAACACGGTCATCTAAGAGGCAGGACGGCAGAGTGGCTGGAGCACAGCCACTGGACGGCCGCATCCAGCCACTCACTGCTCGGTGCCTCGGTTTTCTCATCCCGTGAAATGGGGATAATTCCAGTACCTTCTTCACAAGTGAATACCTATGAGGCACTTAGAGCAGCGACTGGCACACAGTAAACGCTGTGTATATGTCAGCTATAAAAGACACAGGTGGATTCATTTGTGTTTAGAGGTTTTTGGTTTCAAGACATATATACGGTACTCAAGAAATCAGAGCAGGGTCGCCTCTGAGGGAAGGGGAGGGGACAAGGGACGATGCACAGCAGCATCAGATTAGGTCACTTCTGCGACGACTTTCTGGACGCCCCGGTCTCCTTGCCACGAACAAAATGAAACTTACTTAGCACACATGTAGGCGTTCTCGCCACTCAGGACATCTGGTTTCACAAAAAGTTCCAGAGCACGCACAATATTTGCAGCTTGCTGAGAAGGACAAAAATGGAGAATAAACAGCAGAAGAAAAAGGCTGACTCAAAAAATGCCAAATGGAAGGTGTTTTTCAGGCTGAGGCAGCAAATCACAAAACTTTGCTTGCATAAAAACTGGCCTACTAACTGCCACCTTCTGGGACTCGAGGCGCATTGCAAAAGAACTGGGGAGCCAAGCTGCCACCCCTTCTCTGTTGATGAGGAGTCTCAGACACGGGGGGCTTCCCACAGGAATCAGCCCTGGTTTTCAAAGCTGCAGCTTGGGTCTGCTCTAAGCCCCTGGGCTAAGATGACCTCACCTGGGCTGCAGGAACAGTGGGCAGTCACTATCCTACCTCGGGACACAGAACTGCATTTTATCTTTATTTTTTAACTGAAAGGACTACGCATAGGAAAAAGGCTAGAAAGAAATTTGCAAAAACGATGGTTCCCACTTTAAGGATTCTAAGTATTTTTTTTCCTTATCTATTTGGATAATATGGCCTGTGAGTTTCTGGGGTTTGGGGTTTTTCACCCTCTGTTCTCCCTGTCGGAATGCACACAACCGAGGTCTGTACCCGGATCTCCAGCGCCACGTCCAGGTAGGGGTCGTAGGTGTCCGAGACGCTCTTGCACACCGAGCACTTCACTGCAACAGGATAAAGAGCCGGTGGGATGGACGCAGGTGCCCTGGCGTGCCACCCCCAAGCGTCCGCGTCTTAGAACGGGGAGGTACGCTCTTGGCAAACCAGTCCGCCAGAACCCCGGCATCAGAAGAGAGCGTCCATGACAACCCAGGTTCACAAGGAGCAGTGTGTCAAACCCAGCGGTGCCCCAGGACGGGACGCTTTCCCTGACCTGCCATGGCCTCTGCGGGCACTCACTGCCCAGCTGAAGGGTAGTGGCCACATCTGAGGAACTAAGGAACTCAGAGGAAAAGTGCCGCCCTCACTCTACACGTGCCTGACGCTTTGCTCCAAGCTTCCCCAGGAGCTGTGTGCTCATCAAGCAAAGCACGGGGCAAGGGTGTGACTCTGGGGCTTGTCCAGGCCTGCCCACCAGGAGAGGGCCCCAGCCCGGGTGCCAGTTCTTATCATTTTCCGGTTAATCTTCTAATTCTTGACAAGAAGGCATAGAGAAAACGTCTCCACTTACCACGTGATCTGAGATAGCCTCCAAAAATTTGATGGACCAAAGTAGTAGCCTGCGTTTGACGATCCAACCTGGAAAGGAGGCCACAAGCCTTCAAATGAATCACTGGACACAGCAATGCAGCGCTGCCAACCCCACCCGGGGCCCCTCCCATTTCACTGCCAGTGCAGTGGGACTCTGGGACACTCCAACCCACCACCCCGCGCCCGACTCAAGCAGCAAAGCCTGTGGTGTCTCCACACCACTCTGATCCCCACAGGCCCTGCTCCCCACAGCGGCCCCCCCTCAAGCCTTCATGACCCGCTTCTGTCCCTCTCAGCAGGCGGTCTTGCTCCCAACTTCACAGAAAATACAAAGCCTGAGAAATGGACCTGTGCGCTCACCCAGTCTCAACGACGAAAGTGCCCCGGTCCTCCTGGAGCCCCCCCCACCCCACCTTTCCAGCCCACCCCACCTCAGCCCTGCATGGCTGCAGCTCTGTTGTAGCTGGCTTTTAGCTGGTGAAAGGCGGGGGAGGAGGAATAAACAGGGACGTACACCCCACTGGGTCCTTGCTGCAGCACAGCAGTGGCGACAGGCGTGGGCTTGGGGTCAGACAAACCTGCATGCAAACGCCCCGGCTGCCACCACCCATCCCACAGGGCTGTTCAGAGTGCATGACACAGCACAGCGCCTGGACGCCAGGGGTATTCATGTAATGAAGACTCTGGAAACAACACCCCACATCTAGCCTCTGCACCTGGTTTTCACGTGCAACCCACTGAATCTGGCTGACTCACTCCTCTGTCACCAAGACCCCCAGGACAGAAATCCAGTCGCCTTTTTAGTCTTTTCAGGGACACTGCAGCACTGGACCATGCGGCCACTCCCCCTGGAACAAGCGTCCCTCTCCGCCCAGCGCGCTCTCCTGCCCCCCACTCTCCAGGTGCTTCTCCTGACTCCTCAGCCAGGGCTCCTCTCACCCCATGTGACCGCCTGGAGGACCCCACAACGCATGGCCTCTCGCCATCTGCAGAGTGCTTGATGGCACGGTACCGTCATCTCAGCTTTTCTTCCAATCTACGTGACTATTTATGACAGGGCTGCCAGACTCTGGTCATGGAAGAAAATAACTCCAAAACACGTGGGCAACCAACACAGAATCACCAAATTTTTATGTTGCAAAGTTAGGAAATGAGAAATGAATGGCCACCATGCACTATCACCACCGCTCATCAAAAGAAGGGACATTTAACTCCCAAAAATCAAGGCCATAACCTTGGAGCAAACTGCAAACTTCAGGGTAGCTACATGTGATGGCAGCTGCTGAGACACAGCAGACCCCACAAGCCATCCAAAGCCAGCTGTAACAAGAATAAGAGAACTGCACAGAACCCACTCTTAGAATGGTCTGAAACAGAGAAAGTTCAAACTGTAAATCACCTAGAAGTAGGAAAACAAAGCCCGATTCCAGCCGGCTATTGCAAACACTCCCACCCCAAGCCTCGGTGGAGAGCAGGGTGGTCCGGAAAAAAAACGAGCGAGGGAGAGACCAGGGGAACCAGAGGTGGCCCGAGAGTCAGATAAATCCCCCCTCCCCTCCCCGAGTGTGGAAGCCACAAAAGTGTGAGGTCCCGGGCTCCAGGTACCAGGGCATGGCTGGGGCAGGAGGCAGCCCCCAAAGGCAGAGATTCTTGGCAGGAGGGCAAAGCAGGCAGGCCCCTCAGGGGACCGGGTGGTGAAGGGCAAGAGAAGCAAAAGGAAACTTAGGGGCCTGAAAAACCCTGAAAATACCAGCGCAATGCAGCCCTCTGTACTTCACTGGGCTGGCAGCAGGGGGCGCCCGGACTAAGAGCCAGCAAGTCACCACATCCAGGCGACAAAGAACAGCCTGAGCCTATGCAAAGGCGTTTTCCGTGGAAAACGGTAAACAAGAACCAAGANTCATTACTTCATATCATTACTTCGACAACTAAATCCACGGACCCCGTACAAAATCCACAACTCTGACCACATTCTGGTTTGGTTCCTACTCATCAGTCAACGCTTCATCATCCACTTGGGCAACACAGGGCGAGGCCCTTTCTGCCAGCAAACTAGGCGTCTGTACCCTGTCTCCTGGCCTGCGTTTCATCTCCGCTCCGGTGGCGACTGGCTCCCTCCGATTTGGGGTTCAACAACACATATTTGCTCTTCAATGACTCCAGCTGATAAGAGAAGCTCTTGGTGGCTGGCTCGAACTCAATCTTCTGTAAAAGGACCTTCTTGGCAGATGAGGCCAGAAGCTTCCCCAGGTCTCCATCGTCAGCCGAGTCCTTGCGGCCAGGCTTCAGGGCTTCTTTCAACTTATCGACAATTGGCATGGTGCGTCACTGTCGGGACGAGAAGGAACACAGCGTGACGGGTAACCAGGTCCCAGGAGCAAAGCACCTGTTCTCTGAAAATCCCCTCTCTGGTCATTACAGACACCAGCCAGCATAAAAGCTTCTCTGGAGTGGCTGAGAACCCTACAAAGGGGCATGAAACATGGAGACCTACTAGTTAGACATAAGAGAGTCCATGCTTTTCCTCTTAAAAGGACCAGGTGCTGCCACAAACAGCACTGGACAGACAGCTGCGGCAGCTAAGAGGCCAGGTCACCCCTGCAGTGTGCATCTCTTCAGCAAGGGACAGGACATCATGCTTGGCGCAGTTTCCTTCAAAAGGTGACCGTGTGGTCCTAAGGTCTGCTCAAAACCAGGGAAACACCAATTTTCGTAAGATACTCGAGTTACACCCACAAATCCAGGTAATAAAGGAATCAGTATGGCAAGTTAGGGTATGCTTGTCTGTTCAGGCCCACATTCTGTCGAAGGCCGTGGCCACACATGGCCACTGACCACGTGAAAGGAGGCTAGTCCAGACTGAGATGTGCTGTAAGATACACACCAGATTTCGAAGGCTTTTCATGAGAATGTAAACTGTCTCAACAACTGCCTAACTGTAAGCAAAGTGGGGAAGGGGCAGCTACGGGCTCTGGAATGCGGCAGGCCTGAGTTGTCCCATCAGCTATTAGCTATAAATGCCAGGCACAATCACTGTGACTTCCACAGGTTTCCTACTCTTTGTGAAACAGGGACAAAAACAGCACCCAAGAGAGTTTTGTAATCGACAGGTGTGGAATTAGTGGGATGTCATGCACTGGGTGAGTGCTCATGCTGGCTGGAGGACTGACAGTGGTGATGCTGATGTGGCTCGAAACTGTAACAAACAGGAAACCCCCATCGCCTCTGATGGCTACAGTTGTATCTACCACTTCTCTTCCCCACCCACTGCCTCTCAACTCAACCATCCCAGCCCAAGTTCAAGGACTTTTTGAGTCAGTTAGAAAAATATGTTTCTTAAATTGCTCACTCATGTCAGAAAAATGATGGCCCCCCTGTATCCAGCGTCCAGCCTGCTACAGAAGAACCAACAAGTCAGGTACCTCCAAACCTCTACTACAGGAAAACTAACCAGTCAGGTATCCCCAAACCTCTGCTCTAGTGAAAGGACCACCTCCAGCACCTCTTACTAAACCATTCAAACTTATCATTGTGAAGCATCTGATTCCATATGTGGACCAAGTTTCTTTGTCCGTAAAGAACAGAAAACGTAAACCTTATTTTTGAGAGAGCAAGATCAAGTTCTCTGACTTGAGGAAACAAAAGCACCACTCGTGGGGGATGGCCTAAGAGTTCTCACCACTGAACACCGCTTCTGGGTCACACGTAGGTAACTGGCGAGGATGGAAAGATACGCAGACACCTGCATGGCTTACCCGGGACGTCTGAACTTGGGCACTCTGTTGCTGCAGCATGGGGTCAGGTTCTTGGTCAGACTGGGCAGGTGTGTGGCCGGGGCCTCACGTTCACGCGTGCTCTGTGTGTTTGGCCTGTGAAATCACCAGAGCTGCAAGCGTGTCATCCAGGATGGGCGTCAGGACCTGTGGGATGAACAGAGCATCCCGTGAGGCAGCTCTCTTCCCACTGTCTCATCAGCCCCACGCCCCGGACGCAGAGCAGGAAGGCCAAACACGTACCGAAATGGTCGGCATTAAGGCTGAAGGAATATTGAAGGCGTAGATCTAGGGAGAGTCGGGAGGAGACCTGGGCAAACTAGCTACAGATCAGAGCAACGGGCATGGTATGAAAACAGGGCCGTTTGCTTTATAGCTAAACCTTCATGCCAGTGACAAAAACCAGTGAACGAAAATCTCCCCACATTCACCGGTCAACTCCAGTCTAAACCACATCCTAAAGAGTAAGAGGTAATAGCGATCTCCAACTTTCAGATTTCACGAATCAGTAAAATTTCAAAAAAAAAAAAAAGAAGGAGCAATAAGAGTTGCCAAATTTTCACTCTGCTCAGTGTGGATTTTTTAAATTACCATCCATAAGCACAAAGATTACATAAAATTTAGGTACTTTAAAACTTTTGACTGTGAAAATGTTCAAACATACACAATGTGGAGAAAACAGCACAATGCAGTTTTCACAAAACTGCCTCGTTCGCCTTATCAGGGTCATAATTACTATGCAGGACCAATCCTCGCTCCTCTCCGGTCCCCACGTGACTTTACAGCCAATTTCCGATATATCAAGGTCTGATGTCCATAAATAAAAGCTTATCAACACCAAAAAACAAAGAACACACACACACAAACCTCCCTGCAGTGTCCCTGTTGTAGTGAAGATTCAAGTCACTGTGAACAGGTGAGGACTTGGTCCTGGGCAGATATGGGCCCACAGGCGAGTGTGTGGGAACCGAGGAGCCAGAGGCAAAACAGAACTCAGGAGATTTAACCCAAGTTAATTCCAGATAAGAACTTAAAGAACACCCATCCCACAGCCCACTCCTCCATGGAGTCAGAGACCTTGAACATAATCTTCCCACTTCTGACAGAGAGATCAACCTCTATGTCATCCGCTTTACTTGAAACATTAAGCAATTACCTAGAACTGTTTTCTCTCTGAGGTGTAGGAACCCCGAGGAAAATTCCTTGTATCATCTGCAGGCCCTCTGATATACACACTTGACAATACACTCTTCAAACTGGGGAAGGATGCTCTCTCCGGAGAGTCCACGGTCCTTAGGATCCAGGAATGGCTCCGCTGATCCATGTATTTTTCTACCTCCAAGAGCATTCACACGCAGCTTCCTCAAAACAAACACCTTTCCATTCAAGCAGGTTCTCTTTCCCTCCTTGTTTCCAGGATAAACCGCACTGAAGACTCACAGGGTCAACCACGTGCCNTTCTTTGCTTTTCCATATAAATTTTAGAATCAGCTGGAGTACATTAATCTTTACATCAGTGTGGGGAGAGCCAACGTTTTTATAATCCTGAGGCTTTCCTCTGTGAACTCACCCATCTCCATGTGTAGGCGATCGTGTAACATCCTTCAGTAATGGTTTTCCACATACATCTTGGTACAGTTAGGTCTAGATACTTTATCGTTTTTGTTGCTTTTATTAACTTTTTTTATAATAACAAAAAGTTTACAACTCTTTTGTTATTTGGTATAGAGAAATTCAACTAACTTTTTATTTATTGATGTGATATATCTAGTCATGTTGCCAATTTTCTAATTTGTCTACAGATCCTTTTGCTTTTCTGTGCAGGAGTACCATTTTTAAATAACAGTGTCATTTCCTCCTCTTTTCCTATGTTACTGCTCTGGGGACCAATGCATCTTAAACAGAAGTGGTGATCATCTTTGTTTCACTCCTTGTTTTTAAGGGTATGGTTGCAGTATTCCCTCATTTAGAATGCTTTTTTGTAGCTTTTGGTAGACACCCCTTTATCAAGGTAAGGAAACTCCCTTCTATTGCTCCTCTGCTAAGAGTTTACCATGGAAACATTTTCTTGGCATCTATTTTCAGGTGACCTTTCTCTTTTAATCTGCTAAGATAGTAAGAGTAATTAAGATAGCAAAGTTGGCACTCACTCACATAGTGCTTACTGTGCACCACGTACTATTCTAAGCACTTTATATAATTCATTTGAGCCTCACAGCAACACTACGGGGGAGACGATATTATTCCTTTGCAATAGAGGGATGGGAAGCTCTGCCCGGCGGTCGGGGAACATTCTCAAGGACCATGGCCGTTAGGCGGCAGAGCTGGGACACAGACCCAGGGGGCAGCCTCGGGGCACAGCTGTAACTACTGCACTCCGCTCCCTCCACAACGACAGCTAGAGAATGTCCGATACTAGACTATCCCTGATCCCCAGGATGAACACAAGTTGCTCATGGTATTTAAAAGACTAGTGAACTTGGTAGGGTTTTGTGTAGAATTTTTCTATCTACATTCATGAATAAGATGGGACTGTAATTTCTGTGCTTGTTTCATTTTGTTATCCAAGCGCCAAAACCTCAGAATAGCTGGTGAGTTTTCTCTCTTTTTCTGTTCTCTGGAGAGCTTATGAAGCACTGGAACCATGTCTGTCTTAAAAGTTTCATTAAAACTCACCCCTAAATCATCTCAGCCTGGTGTTCTCTTCACGGGAAGATTCTGAAGCACTGATTTAATTTCTTTAATAGTTGAAAGTCTATTCAGACTCTCGTCTACTTTCTTCAGTTCTGGTAAGTTATATTTTATCTCACCTCCATTTTACTCATTTTAAATTTCTACTTTAGGATACAAAGATTCATAGCGTGCATAAAACCCTGGTACAACAACAGGTGTATAAAATAATTGAATATACGCCTTTTGGAGGTATCTTTTGAAAACCCTTTTTTTTCTGCATTAGTAATTATTTTCAGAAAAGTTTGGAGGCCATTACTTTACCTGAGTGATGCGCTTTCAGGCCTGTCCTGCAGCGGACAAAATTCCAATCTAGGTTTTAACTATTACTATGTGTTGTAAACTTGACTCCTAAATTTGATCCAGGCGGAGAATGGCAGCGCCACAAGCACACAGACTGTCTAATTAGGGGGCCGCGCGCAGTTCCCATGATGCAGAGCCCACTCTCACTCACAGCTCCGAGAATGCTCCTTGGAGAGCAGGTAGTTGGCCAGAGGCGGCGTGTAGGTCAAGCACTGCACGGTCGAGTTGAGGAAGCACGTGTTGCCAAGGTTGTGGAGACCGGCTCCGACTCGGTATACCCGCTCCCACCTCAGAGACAGCCGCTCCGTGGGGAAGAGCACTTTCTGCGGGGCGGGAACGCCGTCCCCGCTGCCACCCTCATACACATGCTCGCTGCCTGAGAGAGAGAAGGGCAGGGAGGGAAGGGGGGGACGGTTAAGTCTGTGCACTGGCAGAACACAGGACGAAACTGCTGATACGTCCACTTAGCACGCACACACGCAGAGCATGGCACCGAAGGGCAGCCAGTGCTCCATTTACTGGAAGTTGCTAGAAAGCCCAGGAGAAAATCCAGTCATCCCACAGACCCCTCAGACTGCGCAGGTCCAGATTCAGGGCCCCTTCTCTGGATGAGGACGAAACACAGAGAAAGCAGCTGGAGGAGCCAGGCCCTGGCACCCTGCACCCCCCCCCCAATCCTCTTTTTCAATTCCAAGCCCTGCTTTTGATCCTATGAAACACACACGAGTTCCAAGGAAATCGAAGGACACGCAACATCTTTCAGACCAACCCAGCGTCATTACTTCATATCATTACTTCGACAACTAAATCCACGGACCCCGTACAAAATCCACAACTCTGACCACATTCTGGTTTGGTTCCTACTCATCAGTCAACGCTTCATCATCCACTTGGGCAACACAGGGCGAGGCCCTTTCTGCCAGCAAACTAGGCGTCTGTACCCTGTCTCCTGGCCTGCGTTTCATCTCCGCTCCGGTGGCGACTGGCTCCCTCCGATTTGGGGTTCAACAACACATATTTGCTCTTCAATGACTCCAGCTGATAAGAGAAGCTCTTGGTGGCTGGCTCGAACTCAATCTTCTGTAAAAGGACCTTCTTGGCAGATGAGGCCAGAAGCTTCCCCAGGTCTCCATCGTCAGCCGAGTCCTTGCGGCCAGGCTTCAGGGCTTCTTTCAACTTATCGACAATTGGCATGGTGCGTCACTGTCGGGACGAGAAGGAACACAGCGTGACGGGTAACCAGGTCCCAGGAGCAAAGCACCTGTTCTCTGAAAATCCCCTCTCTGGTCATTACAGACACCAGCCAGCATAAAAGCTTCTCTGGAGTGGCTGAGAACCCTACAAAGGGGCATGAAACATGGAGACCTACTAGTTAGACATAAGAGAGTCCATGCTTTTCCTCTTAAAAGGACCAGGTGCTGCCACAAACAGCACTGGACAGACAGCTGCGGCAGCTAAGAGGCCAGGTCACCCCTGCAGTGTGCATCTCTTCAGCAAGGGACAGGACATCATGCTTGGCGCAGTTTCCTTCAAAAGGTGACCGTGTGGTCCTAAGGTCTGCTCAAAACCAGGGAAACACCAATTTTCGTAAGATACTCGAGTTACACCCACAAATCCAGGTAATAAAGGAATCAGTATGGCAAGTTAGGGTATGCTTGTCTGTTCAGGCCCACATTCTGTCGAAGGCCGTGGCCACACATGGCCACTGACCACGTGAAAAGAGGCTAGTCCAGACTGAGATGTGCTGTAAGATACACACCAGATTTCGAAGGCTTTTCATGAGAATGTAAACTGTCTCAACAACTGCCTAACTGTAAGCAAAGTGGGGAAGGGGCAGCTACGGGCTCTGGAATGCGGCAGGCCTGAGTTGTCCCATCAGCTATTAGCTATAAATGCCAGGCACAATCACTGTGACTTCCACAGGTTTCCTACTCTTTGTGAAACAGGGACAAAAACAGCACCCAAGGGAGTTGTGTAATCGACAGGTGTGGAATTAGTGGGATGTCATGCACTGGGTGAGTGCTCATGCTGGCTGGAGGACTGACAGTGGTGATGCTGATGTGGCTCGAAACTGTAACAAACAGGAAACCCCCATCGCCTCTGATGGCTACAGTTGTATCTACCACTTCTCTTCCCCACCCACTGCCTCTCAACTCAACCATCCCAGCCCAAGTTCAAGGACTTTTTGAGTCAGNTGAAGAACAAAAGGAAAGCAACTTGTCTGTTCCCCTTCCTCGATTCCCCAATGCTGTTCCCTCCCCCAATTCCCCAATAAAATCTTTAAAAAAAAAAAGTGAGAGCAGGGTCTCAAAGAGGTATCTGTACACCCACATTCACAGCATTATCACAGGGCAAAAAACACAGAAGCAACCCAACTGTCCATCAATAGATGGAGAAAAATGTGATATACATACAAAATGGAGTACTCAGCCTTAAAAAGAAAAGGAATTCTGACACATGCCACAACAAGGATGAACACTGAGGACACTGCGCTGAGTGAAGCCAGGCACAATAGGACAAATACTGCATGATACCACTTATGTGGGGCACCTGGAACAGTCAAATTGCTACAAACAGGAGGTTGTTGGGGGCTGGGGGAGGGGAAGGGGAGTGAGTTTAACGGGACTGAGATTCAGTTTGGAAGATGAAAAGTCCTGGAGATGACGGTGACAGTGACACGACAATGCGAATGTACTTAATGCCAGTGTACACCTAAAAATGGTAAATTTTATGTGATATGTATTCACAATGCAAAAAGGTTTTATTTTTAAAAATAAATATGCTAATATTTAGACAAAAAATTCTCCTTGGAGGAACACCAACAATCCGTTAGTGAGGTTGCCTTTACATAAAGGGGAGGCTTCTATTTTTCATTATAGAGTTTTAGTGACTCTTCTAAACACATCTACTTATTTTATTTTTTAAATGGCAATGGTGGAGGGGGCTCAAATTTAGGCAAAACGACAACTAATGTTACAAAATGCTGCCAACTGTTAGCCTGAAAACGGTCATTCTGAAACAGGGCAAGTAACTACTTCAGCCAGAAGTACTTGAAATCGGGTTTCCCAAATCCTTGACAACACACAAGGTTAAGTGGCATACGGACAGACACGGCGTAAAAGCCATGACTTCTGGGGCACGGCGACTGAACTGGGGAAGAGTTTCCCCTCGGATAGGATTCACCCTCCTGAACACTGTCTGGTCTGATCTGTTGCTAGATCCGGGGGCAGGAGTGGCCCAGGCTCGTGGCGGGAGCTGTGCTGGGCGCTGCACCCACAGCAGGCCTTTGTCACGTGCAGGGAGTGCTCTCAGCATCCTTGAGACTCCTCAGACAGCCTGGTCAAGGGGGAGAGGGGCCAGCCCAAGCCCACTGAGGGATCTTAAGTTTTACTCTAAGAAGGCTCCGAAGTGAAGGTCTATTAACATTTCTGGGGGAGGAAGAGTGCCACTGCTCCTGCCCGGGGCCCTCACAGGGCAGGGGTACCCTCAGGGAAGAACAGGCGTTCCGCCAGGAAGAGGGGCTGATCCTGGCTGCTCCCAACTCACACACTTGCTCCCGACATACCGCAGCTTACATGGGACTGGTGACAGGTTTACAGATGTCACCTGCTTTTAATTAAATCAACCCTAACAAAGCTGACAAGCAGCTCCAAGATTCCTGCAGACACACCAGAGGGAGGCCGGCTCAGCAACCAGGAAAATGAGAACACCTACAGGGCTGGGAGAGCAAGCTCTTATCGCCGACGTTGTGAGACTAAAACAGAGACAACCGAGTCAGGTCTTACTAAAAAAGTCCACCCGGAAGAGCCTCAGTGTCACCATGGCGACTGGAAGTTACAATCAACTGCATCTCAAAAGCCTACACCGTGCCTCGATATCTTTATTGGCTTTTGCTGTTACAAAGCCATTACGATTACAAGGCATTTAAAAATACTAGTTTCCATAGCATGGCCATCTTTCTTTCTCTCTTTCTCCTTTTTTTAATACCTTCACTAATGTCCCTGAACTCATCATGCAATCTAAAATTTTTACCCTAACAGTGCTACTCCCATCTCCCTGCCTCTGGCTCTGTCCTCATTTCCTGATTTTTAATTGTTTACCAATTTTTAAAAATCATTAAGTTTTATCACATACATGTATACCTAACTACAAAATTGTCTTGTCTGTGTTTCAACTTTAGAAACAGGAATCCAGGCTGCATGCAGTCTCCGGGGACTGTTTCCTCACTCAGCATTGTTACTCAGATCCATTCGCGCTTTTGCACTGCCAGGCCCCAAGTCCCAAGTCATGTATCCATTCTGTTGATGGCACTGGAGTGAACATTGTTACAATGTTTCACTGTAGACAGTTCTATACAGCTTTCCTGGTGTATGCTATCAGAGCGTTTCTGGAGTAGAATTGCTGGGTCATGTCAGATTGTTTTCCAAAGCACGATTAAATCCTCCACGTGGTCAGTAGGACCTGAGACTTTAAGCAAAATGAGGATGTAAAACAAAACCCATTTTGCCGTAGGCTAACTGACGTAAACGAGAATTAAGCTCCTAGGACGTCATCCACGCTGTAACAAGAGGACCTGTGCTGTGGTCAGGCCCATTCAGGCCAGGGGTATCCGAGGAGGCTCACCCGTCTTCACCCTGACACCTGGCCTTCAGACCTGGGCATCAACGGTATGCGGGTGTCCCCCGCTGTGGTTTTGATGGCACTTCCCGGATCACTAGATTACTAGCAAGGCTGAGCAATTCTTCCTGTACTTCTTGGCCGTGAGTTTCCTTTTCCGTAAAATGCCTGTTCATGGTTTGTATCTATGTTTAATTATTTACTGTCGTTTCCTTATTGACTTGCAGTTCTTCATCTTCTGGATTTCATCTCCCCTTTTGGAGCCCCCACTGCCAATTAATTTTGTTTTTCACGAACAAAAGTTCTTAATGTTAATGTAGCTGAATGTATCCATTTTTCCGATACAGTTAGCACTTTCTGTGTCTTGTTTAAGAAAGCTCCCTTCCCAAGGGCACAGAGATATCAGCCTACATTTGTTACAAAAGCATTCATTATGTTTTATTTTTGACACTAACTTTTCAATCCTTTGTGTGCATGCTGTGAAATGGGGATCCATTTTCATTTTTTCCATCTGTAAACCCAAGTTGGTTTTTTTTTAACTTCTATTTATTTAAAACGTGAGAAAAAAATATATACACATGGCTTGTATTCTTTTGTTATCAGTATATATTATTACAATTTCAATACAGTTTTTTCCTTTCTTAAAANTCTATGGTGTACCGCAGGAACTCATGTGCATCCTCCTGGTTCCCAAAGCGGAAATGCCGGGCGATCTCTACAGAGGGAAGAAAGAGGCGTCAGGTTGGGAGGGGGGCTCCCACGACCGCCTGTCACCCCCCCCAGCTGGCCCAGGGCTCCACAGCGGACCTCTGCAAGTGGCCTGTGAGGACACAAGAGCTCAACGTGGACTTTCTACGTCTGACTCATCACTCCTCACAGCAGTGATTTTCTCAGTAAGACCCGAGGGCTTAAGCCCTCCACACTTAACAGAAAAGCACCAATGCCTCAGAACAGCAGGCGCTCAGAACGGGAAGTCCGCTGAGGGGCAAGTTTCCTGGGGCCAACACAGAACACAAATGACTGTAGCCATGTCGCACCAGTCTACGCAGGTGTCACACCTGACTGTCCCGGCTCTTCTGCCGAGAGAAGGGGAGATTTGACTTTGACAGCCTGTGGCCTGGCACCCCTCCCCAACCCAGTCTCCATCTCCCAGCTCTCATTCATGGTCCCCTGCCTACCTACAACACACCCCCGCCGCCCAGCCTGGCCCAGAGCCGCCCACTCTTCACAGCGGTCAGCCCCTCCCAGCATGAAGCCCTCCCCAGACCCCGGCCCACAGCAGCCTCAAAACCACCGCTCCTTCCGTCTGCACCACCATATGCACCAAATTACTGCTGCGTGGAGCCTCGGGGCTCCCGACTCCGTTCCTGACTCGTCCTGTCCCCCCACCAGCGGCCCGGCACCCACTGCAGTGGGCAGCAGGGCTGCGTAAGGAACCCGCTCTTACTTTTCAGGTCCCGGATGAAGGACACGGGCTTGATGGCGTTCCCGCTGTTGGCAAAGGCCTGGACGATGTGGTTCTGCATGACGCACAACATGCAGAAGCTTCCCTGGTGACCTGCGGGCAGGGGCGAGGCAGGAATGTGAAGGCACAAGCGTCCGAGAGAATTTC